GGGGACCAGGTCCGTCTTGGTGATCTCGGGCCCCACGGCCTTCTGGAGCTGCAGGCGGGAGAGGGGTGACGGCAGTGGGTGAGAAGATCTGGAACGTGAGTGGGCCAGGCAGGTCGGGAATTCCCTGACCCCTGCGCCAGGCTGTCCTGGGTCAGGGACATCAGGCACACCTCTGCCAGGGCTGCCCTCTGTCAGGGACACAGAGGCACACCTCCCCCCGGGCTGCCCTGGGTCAGAGACCTCCGCCCGGGCTGCCCTGGGTCAGGGACACAGGCACCCCCTCCCCCCAAGTCGGCCCCTCACCTACCTCCGTGAACTTGTCGGCCACCATGTACCGGACGCGCCAGGACTTGTCCTCTGCGGCCTGGCGCAGGGTGGGCATCACCAGCGCCTCCAGGTCCTCCTGCGGCAGGAGCTGGGCGATGTTCACGCACGCCTCCACCGCCAGCAGCCGCACCGAGTCCTGGAGGAGGGAGGGCCGTGAGTGGACTGGGTCCCTCAGGCCTGGCCCGTCCGCCCTGTGCAGGGTGTGGGGGGACCTGGGCGCCCACCTGCTCGTCTGAGGCCAGGTTGGAGAACATGGGGATGATCTCGCTCTTGACATTGTCCAGCTCCAGCACCTTGGCGAACTCCCCCAGCTTGGAGGCTGCGGCCCGCCGCACCATGGGGGTGTCGTCTGAGCACAGGTTCCGGAAGTACCTGGGGGTGGGGCTGGAGGTCAGGAGGGGCGAGCCTGGGGGGACCCCGGCTTTGAGGGGGCGTCAGGGAGCAGCATGGGCAGTGACTGTAGCCAGAGAGGTGGGCAGCTCAGCCACGGTCCTCTGAGGGACAGTGGCCTGGAAGCCACAGGGCTGCTGGGAGAGCACAGTAGGTGCGGGGCGTTTGAAGGCCCATCTGCAGAGCCCTGCAGGGAATGCGAGCCCCCCCCAAAATGACCAACTGCTGCCCTCAAGTTGTTTCCACCTCACAGCGCCCCAGCAGACAGCGCAGAGCTGCCCCCCACCCCGTCCACCGGGGGTGAGGCGGACCTTCCTGGTGCAGCACGGTCCTCCAGCAGAGCCCCAGGGAAGGGCTCCCCTGGCCAGCACAGCACTGCCCACGGCCCCATAGACCCTGTCTGGTGGCAGCCACTGTGTGGGGACGTGTCTGTCTGTCTGTCTGTATACTCCACTGTGACAGCTCTCTTCCACCCGGGGTCACACCCAGCTGTCCCAGCACCTACTCTGCAGTGTGGTCGGTGTCACACTTGAGAGGGGAGAGTGAGCACCTAAGAGCCTCGAGGACAAAGGGAAAGGTGGGCTCCGGGAGGGCCCGGGGAGGGGGGAG